CGAATTAATTATGTCGCATTCGCTCATTATTTCCACCTATCACAATCACAGACACATATATTTTTATCCACTCCACTTTTTCACTGATTGTTTAGCAATATTGGAGGGAGGATGACGAAAACGAAGTACCCATAGTTGTAAACCGTATGCTTTCGGATAAAATCTCGTCAATGATGTACAGGCATTGTTTCAATTCCCTAAACACCGGAGATATAAGGAGGTAATCCCTAGTCAACCACTTCGAGCCTAGAAGTAGGAGTTTCCTTCGGATATTCAAACCCTTAACACTCAACCTGGGGCAGGGTAATGTTCAGTTAATCTAATCTTGCATTCGAATCGATAAAGCAAAATCCAAAGACATGACGTTTGTTCATCAATGTCCATGATATGGCAGTCACTATCTTCCAACAAAATTCAAAAAAAAATCAAAAGCCTGCTAAGTCAAGCATTTCAAAGGAGACTTAGGCAAAAATCAAGGCAATCCCGATGGATCTGACAAGCAAAATCAGTCCATGCAAAAGTTAGGGATCAAAATCAAAAGAGGTCCTCAAACCCTCAACAAAAACAAAGATTCAGTGGCCACCCAAATCAAAGGGTCACTGACATCCATCAAATAAAGTGACTGCCATTTCGAGCAAACCTTGAACCATTAAGCTTACACCGTCAAGGTAAACATACATAGAATTAACTGGACGTAGGTATGGAGATCATCAAGAAGAAGGGGTGGGTACAAATTAACTTTGAGCCTAATATCCTTTGTTTCTATCACCGTGAGCCAGACCACGTTACAACCCTCGAAAGACCTAATTGAGTCGAGGTTTATTCTGAAAGCATACTATCGCAAGGTTGCGTAACCTGACTCCTCATGTATTTGCTAATCATCAGCATTGGTGTTATTTTCCTTGCTATATTTTTCACGCCAATCCAGTTGGCACAACGTTTAGACCAAATGGTCCATTCGTTTCACTCTCACGACACTTAAATAAACGACACTTCTCTCAAAATTCGCATGAACTTCGCATTAAAATTACCATTCGTGAACAAACAATTTTATTTGCAAGTCAGTAGTTGGCATCAAGGAAATTCCAACACAAAGCACTCAAGCGTGACTGGATTATTCAGCGGTCTGGACCAGAACCAAGTATACCATATAACCTATTAAACTTGGGGCGTTGACATCCGAGAGTAGGAAATCAGTCAGTCTGAGGCGAATCCCCACGCGTCGGTCGACCATGGGGGCAAATCATTCATGAAGCAGTCGATCAGAAGAGAATCATCTTGAGAATACTGATCAGGGGCAGGCCACCCAGAGTTTCTTTGACTTGAGAATAGGTCCCTCCAATGTTCAATCGAGGTAAGTTAAGTCGCTTACACGCTCTTTCAGGGGAAAGCTACTCTAAGAGTACATTGGAGCCAACTACCACAAGAATCGGCTAATCAATGATGAATCCATTTGTGGTACGAACTCTGGGGCAGACCATCTCGAGCACGTCTCATAGCAAGCCGCTCAAGCAAGTTCATTCTCGTCAACAACTGTTAAGTTCAAAACGATGTCAGGAAGTCAGGCTTGTCCTCCACTTTCCCACATAACCCAGAGTCCAACCCGCATTGGCAACTACCGAAAGTCCGCCACGTCGGCACCTGCATTCCCAATTACCCGTCTGCATCATATGCATCATACGCATCGCGTTCGACTTCATAAGCATCTTGCATCACACGCATACCCAGAATCATATCATACTCCCCCAGCTCTTGCATCTCCGCGTGTTAGCATTTGCATTTGCATGGAATATCATTATCATCAAGCATTCACATATGCGAGCTCAGATCCAGGATCAATCACGAAGATTTCCAAGATCATCAGCCTAGACAGGGGCACCTCTTGCAAGATTGTGGGTTTCTCTCACTAGAGTCAGAAGATATCAAGACAAGATTGAGCCCAATCAGGGGCATTCTTCCACAAGACCGTGGGTGTTCCCCACGAAGTTTTGCAACTTATTTGAGCTTCAAGGCAATTAGCAGCCCAGTCAGGGGCATTATCTGTAAAGGCCATGGGTCCTCCCATGGAATTCAAGATTATCAAAGCAAAATTCAGCCCAAACCAGGGACATCTTTTCAAGACCATGGGTGTATTGCATGATGTGTTGCAACCTCGTGGTTAATCAAGATCTTCAAATCAATTTGGCCCAGACAGGGGCATCTTCAATAAATCATGGGCGTTCCCCAGTGAGTTATCTCCAGCAGACTTCAGCGATAAGTGGCAATCTCTTCAGAGAAGCTTATCCTTCATCAACGATAAGTGGCAATCTCTTCAGAGAAGCTTATCCTTCATCAACGATAAGTGGCAATCTCTTCAGAGAAGCTTATCCATCATCAACGATAAGTGGCAATCTCTTGGGAGAAGCTTATCCATCTTCAGTGATAAGTGGCAATCTCTTCAGAGAAGCTTATCCATCATCAACGATAAGTGGCAATCTCTTGGGAGAAGCTTATCCATCTTCAGTGATAAGTGGCAATCTCTTCAGAGAAGCTTATCCATAATCAACGATAAGTGGCAATCTCTTGGGAGAAGCTTATCCATCTTCAGCGATAAGTGGCAATCTCTTCAGAGAAGCTTATCCTTCAATCAACGATAAGTGGCAATCTCTTGGGAGAAGCTTATCCATCTCCAGCGATAAGTGGCAATCTCTTCAGAGAAGCTTATCCCCCTATCATCCTTTCGGTGTTAGGGTTGATTTTGTTTCGCTCCATCATCCTTTTGGTGATGGGTCTAGCATCCTTTTGGTGTTATGACTAGCGTCTCCGCTCCATCATCCTTTTGGTGATGGGTCTGGCATCCTTTCGGTGTCATGACTAGCGTGTTTTCCATTATCCTTTTGGTAATGGACTCCTTACATCCTTTTGGTGTTAGGTTTGATCTCATTTCGCTCCATCATCCTTTTGATGATGGGTCTGGCATCCTTTCGGTGTCATGACTAGCGTATTTTCCATTATCCTTTTGGTAATGGACTCCCTACATCCTTTTGGTGTTAGGTTTGATCTCATTTCGCTCCATCATCCTTTTGATGATGGGTCTGGCATCCTTTCGGTGTCATGACTAGCGTATTTTCCATTATCCTTTTGGTAATGGACTCCTTACATCCTTTTGGTGTTAGGGTTGATTTTGTTTCGCTCCATCATCCTTTCGGTGATGGGTCTAGCATCCTTTTGATGTTGTGACTAGCGTCTCCGCTCCATCATCCTTTTGGTGATGGGTCTGGCATCCTTTTGGTGTCATGACTAGCGTATTTTCCATTATCCTTTTGGTAATAGGATTCCTTACATCCTTTTGGTGTTAGGGTTGATTTTCTTCCGCTCCATCATCCTTTCGGTGATGGGTCTGGCATCCTTTCGGTGTCATGACTAGCGTTTTCCATCATCCTGTTGGTGGTGGGTCTGACATTTCATCAATATCAGATTGGGCGATATTTTGTTTGTGTGTTTCATTCCATCATGCTCCTTGATGGTGATGACCAGTTACTTACAGTTTACTCGGATGGTTTACATTTATCCAGTATTTCAATTCTCAAACATCTCCTTTCTTTTCAGACAAATTCAGGGTCTTCTTCATATCTAATTGTCTTCTACCGTAAAAGAATGAGCGTCATATCCATTCATCTCACTCGGTCTAAGCCAATTAGATAGGGGCATCTGTCATACCCCAAATTTGTCCTACCCCCCTCTCGCTCTTGAATCAAACATCCGTGGGGATTCATGCCTTTTCTCTAAATAATCACCCGGCCTCTGACCATGATATTTTGAAGTGTGGATTAATAAGGGTCTTGTTGGCGCTTTCTGTGGTTACTAAACTCTTGCCAAAATGATGGTTTCAGATAAGTTTATGATGCGAGAAGATTCAAGATAAGGTCAATTGATTTCAAAATAATTTTAAGCCTCATTTCAATTGATTCTCAAGTCGTTTTTTTTTTGGGATATGCCTTTCAAAATCAGAATAAAGTTCAAGCTAATATGTTATGCCATGGGGGTAAGTGGTAGACCCCAATTCTTTATTTATGATCTTAAAAGTAATCCAGTTAGAGGATTTAAACTCTCAAGTGACATCAAGATCATGCGTAAAGGGCCAAACTGTGTTTATCAAGCTATAATGTAAATGAGTCCAAGACCATGATTAAGGTTTCTACTTCAAGGACTGCCTTCAGGCCTGATATGCCATGGGAAATATGCCTCGGTCATTATTGTGAATTAGTTGTGAGATTATCAAAACTCTTTTAAGTTTTCATGACTTGATAAACAATTTGTTGGAGATCATTTGTTAGAGATCATTGCCTTCAAGGCACGGACAGTCATTGAGCCATGAGCCGTTTTAGCTTTTGGCACTTCTAGAGTCTAGATGTATTATGAACAATATACCTTATTCCAATGCAGAAAAAGAAAGCTAAGAAACTTTTTGGAAACTATTACATGGTTTGGAGTTTAAAATAAAAGTCCCTTAGGACCTGGCACTGCAGAATATTCAAGGCTTGGATCACTCCAAATAAGTTGTAAATACAACATTGAACAAGGAAAGTAATTGTTACATATCTTCTCATGGTTCAAAATATATACAAGTTATAAAGTGGAAAAGTGAACTTCATTCATGACAGAAGACTGCAAAGCTATGCCGCAAAATCATAACAAAGAAAAACAATTTCAAATCCTTGATATGCTGTTAACAGAATTTCAAAACTAGCCCTCAGCAAAATTCAATCAGAAAATGCTATCCTACACTCCAATATTTCCTGTACAAATTATGTTCTTTCTTCACATTTGGAGGGCCCTGGCTTTGAGCTTCTCATTTTCTCTTCATCTCCATTATCAATTCAATGAATTTCCTGCAAGAAAATCGGAGGAAAACACCATTATCACTACTAATACCCCAGCTGCAATTCGTACACAAGTTACAACAGAACATGCACCGTAAACCACACCAATAGCTACTTGTTCCTAGCCTCGTTTCAACTATGGCCACTGGAGTTAACAGAAAAATTTCTGCAGCATCAGCTCGTTCTCACACCAGGAGAGCCAACAAATCCTCCTCTTTTCACCTCCCTTCTGGAATACTTAGAACAACAGTAGCAGTGTTGGTTATTGGGTTTCTAGCATGGGCTTATCAAGTTACCCAACCTCCTCCTCCTAACATATGTGGCTCTCCGGATGGACCACCTATAACCGTGCCAAGAATCAAGCTAAGAGATGGAAGGCATTTGGCTTACAAAGAGCACGGCGTTCCTAAAGACGAAGCAAAGTATAAAATCATCTCTATTCATGGTTTTACCAGTTGCAGGCATGACACAGTGGTTGCCGACACCCTATCCCCTGATGTTGTTAAGGACTTAGGGGTCTACTTTGTATCTTTTGATAGACCTGGTTATGGGGAGAGCGATCCCGATCCAAATCGTACGTTAAAGAGCATTGCTTTGGATGTAGAAGAGCTTGCTGATCAGCTGGGGTTGGGGTCTAAATTTTACGTGGTCGGTGTTTCCATGGGCGGACAAGTTGTTTGGAACTGTCTTAAGCACATTCCTCACAGGCTAGCAGGTGCCGCGCTCTTAGCTCCAGTCGTCAATTTCTGGTGGCCTGATCTTCCTGCAAACTTAGCTGCTGAAGCCTATAGCCAATATAAATTACGTGACCGATGGGCTATTCGTGTCGCACATTACACGCCATGGCTAACGTACTGGTGGAACACTCAAAAATGGTTCCCAATTTGTAGTGCGATTTCCCGTAGTCCAGATATTCTTTCAAAACAAACTTGATTCACCCAAAACACAACGCCTAAATAGCTTCCTGCACCAAAACGAAGTGAGGATTGTCATTCAGTAACCAGAAAAGTAAGGGATGGTCACGAAAGAAACCAAAGTTGCAACTTGTTATCAAACCCCAACCAGCCTTGTGTATTTTGTTTCTTTCCATTTTATTCAACCTGCTACCATCAGACAATCCCAAAACCTCCACTACAAAACCTGCAGCCCCCTCCAAACTCTGCTACCACTCCACACTCTGCTACAACTACCACCAGACAAGCTCTGCAACCAGCCCACACTATTGTGCTCAACACACCAGACAAAGTCTGCGAACAGCAGCTACCACTACCTTCCAAATGTACCGAAACTGCTACCCTTCCTACAGCCTGCATAACCTGTACAAAAAAATACAACAACAAACAGCCCATGAAAGCGACAATACAGGGAGAAGAGGATGAAATAGAGAGGGGGACCTTGGCCTTTAAAAAAACAAGTTTGTTCTTTGATAACCAAAAGATATCGTTCACTTCATAAGCCCTCACCACTGGATATAAAAAAGAAACAGCTCAGACCTTCACGGGGGATTGGTTTTCCTCAACCTTTCATCTTCACTTTATTCTTCCCTCTCATTTTTCCATTCATCATCCAGCTTTAAACCAGAAACTTGTTTTCTCCTTCAAAAAACCAACAACCCACATTGATGAATCTTCTTTAGAAACTCGTCGCCACTCTTTCCCACCTTCTGTTTTTAGCTTTCCATCTCTCACCATTAACAAACCGTCATCATTCTCTTCAAACAACATCAACCCAGAACCTCATCTTCCGAACTTCATCAAACACAACATCAAAACAAATTTTAAACCTGTTTCGAAACTCCACCGTTAATCCACCAAACAACCACATCCACCAGTCTTCTTCAGAAAAACCAGATTCCAGCCTCTTCTAACTTCACCAATCCTTAACAGCCTTTTAACCTCCCTCAGTCCGACACTCCTTTCTTCCCTCAATCACAAAACTTTCCCCAAATCTTCCTTCTAAGAACTCAAAAATCCAGAAACTTCCATCTAGTCTTCATCCAAAACCACACAAAAACCCAAACTCATGCGTTATCCTTTCCAAAATCTGACCCATTCGAAATGCCCAGAATGTCACCTTCAAACCCATCCGAAACATCAAAGCTACCCCATCATTAATCAACTCAACCAACTTCGTAACCTCAAACCGTAAACCTCTTCGCAACCCGCTTAAAAACCATTCCAATAACAACATCAGAAAACAGTGAATCTTCACAACTTCATACCCGAAACCGTTCATCCACCGCCGAAACATCATCGTCCATTTAATCTTCAACCAACAATCACCCACACAAACCTCCCAAACCTACCACAAACAGAAACCGGATTCAAAAACAGAAAGATTGAGAGATGAGATGAAGAGGAGAGTGAGGTTGAAACATCTACATACCCGAAATTGAGCAAACAGCGGTGAGGAATGTAGTCGTCGAACATCGTTTTATGTTATGATAGCTTGCCGCGGTGACGAATGTTGCCTGATTCGCGTTCATTGCTTCAAGTCAGCATTGCTCCTAAGTTGAAATTTGTTTTCAATCTTACAAACCCAGTTTGTTGTGCCCTGTTTTTTTAAGAATGATTGGATTTTCTTTTAGCTTTTTCTTCTGCTTTTTCATGATCTGTGTGGTTTGAAGTGGGTCTCATGGCCCGTTAATTTTAATTAGTCAGAATTTCCCCTATTTTGTTTTTGCTGTGTGAAATGAGGAGATGATGGGCCTACGAGCCCAGATGATTCTCACGGTGTTCTCCCAACGTGGGCACCCTTCTTTTCAGCATACACGTCTTCTTTTTTTCGTTAAAAACTTTTAAGTTTAATTCTCTTGTTTAAAAAATAATAAGTACTAAGTTTTACTTGGATTATTTTAATGTTTATTTTGCTAAGTATGTTACTAATCATTTTAGTAATGACAATTTGTTGTCTTAAACCATTTTTATATGCCTATATTCTTTATTATTCACTTTAATTTCATCTTGGGTTTTATTTTCATATTACTATTTTAGGGTCGATGACGAGACCTCCGTAATTCATTACCAGTCAAATTATTGATAGGTAATGTTGGATCTGAGACCACCTCTTTTCTCTCTTCATTACTTGTCCCGACTCGATTCAGAAACATTGTCAAACAATCTTCACAATCAAATTTCTTTGTATTGAATTAAAAAGAGGGGATTAAGTGTAGACTTTCTTCCTCTCTGAGTGTTGGGATGCCCACTGTAGTGTGGGTGGTCCTGACACTCATCTTTCAGTACGAAGACGTCTCCGGTCCATTCTCAAATCTCATCTCCTTAAAATCATTTCTTTGTGTTGGGCTAAAGAGAGGATTGGGTGTAGACCCCTTCTTCTTCGAGCGTAGGGATGCCCAATGTAGTGAGGGTGGTCTCGATACTCGTATCTCGATACAAAGACGCGACTTTATCCACCAACTCGCTTTCACAACTTCCTTCCCAATTTTCACACCTAAAACCTCGGTCTCGCACCGAGTGCATTTTCAAACTCTTTTCCTAACAAAAACTTGAATGGTCGTGGAGTGGTTAGGCGTAGGCCTTCTCCTATCCCGAGTGCTGACGTTTACCGTAGGGTTCTCTGTTGCAAAGCACTTACCATTCAAAACCAAAAACATCTTTAATAAGAGAACGAAGTTCTCTTTGCATTGAATTAAAGAGAGAGGATTGGGTGTAGACCTCTTCTTCTCCGAGCGTAGGGATGCCCACTGTAGTGAGGGTGGTTTCGACGCTCGTCTTTCAATACGAAGACGCCTCGTTCGCCACACCTTTTATAACAAAAAACTTTGAGATAAAGAATTGGGTACTACCCGTAGGGGTTACTATCCGAGAACCTATCTCGCCCCAAAAACAATCTCAACCAATCAAACATGATACCTTGCCTCGCATGGCGAAAACCAACCTTTCAAACAGGATATGTTACGTCCGTTCTACCGCAAACAGGTACGCATAAGTCTCCTCACATGCGAGCAGCAAAACACCTAAACTGCTAGAATGCGCACGATAACATCATCCACAAACACACCGGTTATCCGCACCGTAGGCACGAACTACGTTGCTCTGATTTCTCATGCATAATGGGAATACGTAGGCATAGGATTGCGATATCCTAGCGAGCACCCCTTTTCTTTTTCCACCCTTTCCCAGAAAGGCATGCTATGTCCGTTCTATCGCAAACAGGTAATGCCTAAGTCTCCAACGAGCGAGCAGCAATACACCTAACTGCTAGAATGCGCACGATAGCATCGTCTACCAGAATTTCCCCGCACACCGTAGGCCGAACTACGGCTGCTCTGATTCTTTACTTTTCTCAAGTAAAGATACGTAGGCACAAGGGCCACAATCCTTGCCGAGCACATCCCCCCCATATCTGTAGTTCCCCGAACTACGTCGACTCTGACTTTCTCACATCTATTGGGAATACGTAGGCATGGGACTGCGAAGTCCTACCGAGTCTGTTCTATCTCCTTTCTCCTCCGTTATCTCTCTATCCCTCCTTTCTTCGTTTCTAAACCCTTCTTTCTATCTTTTGGAGCACTCTTTATAGCATAATATTTAAGCAAATATAATCACGCGTCGACAAACAAAAGGTTCCCATCGAGTACGATGGATGCGAGGGGTGCTAATACCTTCCCCTCGCATAACCGGCTTCCGAACCCGTTCTTGGTCGCGAGACCATCTTATCCATTTTATTTTCTTAAGGTTTTCTCGATATTTTCCTTTCCCCTCATGGGATAAATAAAGTTCGGTGGCGACTCTTCTGTCCTTTCTTCTTCGCCTCCCCGTCGTTGCGCGATGCATTTTTCGAGTAGCGACAGTAATGAGCTGCAAAATGAACAAACGATGTTAGTGGGCAGAGTTAAACGTCAATCAAACGCGTTACGAGCCAATGAAGAAAGAAAAAAATGCAAATTGGAGGCTTATTATTATTTTATTTAAAAAAACCTTAAATAATTTAATGTTAGCTTACAAAAAAAAAGTTTAATTTAAAAATGTTTTACTCTAAAAAAAAATTCTATTTTTTTAACATTTTGAAGAAAAGTTTTTCTTATTTTATTTTTTTTTTAAAATTTTTTATTTATTTTTTTAAATAATAAAACAAAACAAAAAACAATATAACTAAAAATAATAAAACAAAATGGTTTGGGCCAGGAGTTGGGTGGTCAAGCCCCAACCCGGCCCGTCAGTAACACACAAAGGAGATCAAGGGAGTCCCCAAAGGAAACCCTAGCTTTCAGCGGCCGCTTCCCTCATCTTTTCTGACTCGTCTCTCGCTTTTCTCTGTTCTCCCGGTTGTCCCGCCTCCAATGGCTCTTCACCGTTCGTTTTCCTGGAAAAAAAACAAAACTAAACCATGCGTGATGATGATGCCTTACAGAAATGCTTGATTGGTTGAAGGATTCTGAACCCTTTCGACTTTTCTTTGCGATTCTGTTTCTTGTGATCTTGATGGACGATGATGAGGGTACCGGTCCCTCTGAGTCTCAACCACGCCGTTAGGGTTGCGTTCGTTCTTCTCTTTCTCGTGGCCACCAGTTAGGGTTTGTACGCCATCTTTTTTCTTCCTCCTCGTATCAGGTTGTGTTCTCCTATTTATAACTAACTTCTGGGCCTTGGACTTGCGTTTTTTCTGAGATATGCACTTGATCTGATTTGATTTTGTGTTGGTATTATTTGATTTTGATTTTCCTCAGATACTGATTGGATTACTATTGGATGCTGATTGAACTCTGTTTCCCTTTTTAGGGTTTAATCGATCCTTTCTGATCTCCAGCTGATATGATTATTATGATTTGGTTCAAAGATTTCTATCTTCAGAACTTTATGATTGAATGTAATCTGAACTGATTTGCTTTGATTGATTCAGGTCAAGTGCAAATGGGGATTCGATTTGATTTGATCATTTGGTTTTTTTAGATTGAGTTCCAATAGGGGCTT